CATGCTCCACCCTTGACACCATTTTGCCGTATCGTCCCGACGTCTCAGAGTTCAGCCCTCTTTCTGAAATTTTGCAGCACGCTGAAGAGTGTCGTCAGTTGGCCCAATCATTCACCTCGGACAAGCAAGCATTCGAAAAAGACCGCCTCGACCGCGACCAGCAAGTCGAGACTTTTTCCGTGGGCTCGCTTGTCTGGCTCCGACTGCCCTTTCACTCCCCAGGTCTGTCCGCTAAGTTTGGCCCCGAGTTTCACGGTCCTTATCGCGTCGTCGAACGTCGATCTCCTGTAACGTACGTGATCGAGCCGATCACGCCATCTACAGACAGGCGATGCCTTGGTCGTGAGACTGTCCACGTGAGTCGTCTCAAGCCATATCACGACCCACTCCTAATCTCGTCACCTTGACTTGCCAGGATGGCTCGTCTTCGTCGCCGGGGTATTGTAGAGAGGAAGAAGAATGTGCCGCAGTGGGTCACGCCTTTAGCAGGAGGAGAAAAGCGCGAGCGTTTGCCCCGATTGCTGTGATTCCTGAGTCCGTTGCTGCCGCCCGCTTTCAGCGTCAGTAGACCTACTGTGCAAGTGCTACTTGTGCCAATAAACCCCGTTCCACCGGCATAAAAGATGGTAGGAAAATAGTCATGTGATAATGGTGCAGCATTAAACTGATTTTAGGGCATTTCGTATATTGCGTTTCGTCGTTACAGAAAAAGCACTGTCGGGGAGGTCATTAAAAATAGAAGGAACGTAGAGCTTTCTAATAGCTTTGTAATATCGTGTTTTGACGAATGGTACAGAAAAGCTGGAAGTTTTTCTCAATATACGAAGGGCAATGCACTCTTTTTCTGAACTCAGAGTTTTAGAAATGCCGTAGTACCACAGCGTGAATAAATGACGCTTTGAAAGATGGCAGGGAAAATAAAGAAAATAAATATGCGTTATATGTTAAAGTACGAGTGTAAACAATGAATTTCGACATGTTTATCAAAATGTTATCAACATTACACTGCCGTCGTGAAGAACAGAAAGCAAATAATGTAATGCCATAATGCAGGACACTGTACGCAATAGCAAGCATAATGGTCCCTTTATATTGGTGACCGCAATCGATCTAATATTAAAACGTAACCATACGATTTTGCGTTGCCTTCCACATATGTAAATCCAAATGATCAATTCAAGACAAGTCACTATCGAAGAACCCAACAATACATTTCACAAAATTAACATATTCAATGGGAATACACCTACAGGAAGCGCTATCAGGGCATGAAGAAATAGGAGTGCAGTTGTCACTATTGCTTTCAATGGATTTTTTAAGCAAATTAGTTTCGTTTTTCCCCCTGAATAATTACTAAGCAATTATTAGCGAACCATGACGCAGCCTCATGAACACCGTCTTGTAGTAGTGACAACGCTTCATTGTAACAGATGTGTTTGGGTAAAAGAACAGTTTCGTCTGCGTTCTGAAATACGAGGCATTTTGGAACAGCAGTAGTAAAATAATTTATGAATGAATTAAATAAAACGTGAGATAAAATAGATCCCTGTGATACATCAGCTTTCAATGTAAGCCTGTTGCTGAAAGGGAACTTATTGTCTATTCGGACTATATACCTGGAAGCGGTTAGAAAGATAAATTTTGAGAAGTTCGTAGAACGGACCTCTGAAACCAAAAAGGTATATATTTTTTTCAATCAGGATAAAATGGTTTACGATCTCAAATGCTTTGGAGATATCCAAAAATAAAGCACAGGCAAACATATTATGGACTAAAGCATCGTGCAGTTCATCGGAAAATTCAAGTATACATCAATGGTACCTCACCTGCGACAAAACCAAACTGGCGATTCGAAATAAGCGATTTTTTTTTTCTGAGAATGAAGTCGTGCATTACAATAAGAATTTCTCAACTATTTGGGATAAGATAGGCGAAACTTATATAGGTCGATAAATGTCAGCACTATCTTTATGTCCGCTTTTTTAAATGGGCTTTACAATGACTGTTTTTAAATCTGGTGGCAGAGAAGCTGTCTCCAAGAATCCATTGAGCATGAAGAGCAAGATCTCTGATAATGCGTTCAAATTTCGCTGCAGCAAAGATATAGAGATACCATCAATACCTGCTGGTTTCTGCCCTTTAAAACCAGAAACTATTCAAACGAGTTCGTACTTTCAACGTATTCAAACGAGTTCGTAAGTTGGGAGGAAGGCAGAGACAAGTACAGATTTATTTAAACCAGAGTGACCTGCTGGTGCTGATGATACCCCACCAGACACTTTCGCTAAGTGGTGAATAAATGTATCGGCTTTATGTGCAGGATCACCAGTAAACGCATCAGAAGGTCTAGCATCGCTGCCTTTTTTAGCGCGAAGGTGGTTAAACCCCAAGTATCAATCAATCAATCAACCAATCATGTGGTATCGAAGGTTCCCTCGTTATCGCTGATGGTGATGGTGACGCGCGATGCTGAGGTAACAAAAATAGAAAGAAAGGAGCACGTGCGGCATCACCACTACAACATTACAAATTATTGCTAATGCAGTCATCGCTACGCCGGTGACACAGATTCTTAATTTGTTTTTTTTTTGTTTTTTTTAGTTTATCGCAAAAAGCTCGCCCCACCGTTGCCACTCAACCGCTGAGCACAGCATGGGCTCGGCGGGTGCTCGGCTATGGTGCGGATAGTTGTTTTTTTTTTTTTTTTGCAGCAGCAGTGCCGTCTTTACAGTGTCCGTAACAGAGTTGCTTTTAGACCATACATGAGAGTCACATAATGAGGTATGTGCACAAACGCCAACTTAACAAGAACCATGAATTGTGTTCAGGTGGCGCGAGATTCATGCGTCATCCGAAATACGTTGTTAGATATGCAGGCGGAATTTTATACGGACGCGATTGCGTCCTTTGTGCAGCCCACGCGTGTCGCTCGGTCGATGATAAAGCTCTCGGCTAAATTTGGCGTTGCTCGGTCACCGGCGTTGCCACTTAGGCGTGGCTTGGCGCTGCAGGCCAGATTGGCGCATCGTGGTACGATTGGCGCAGCACTTCCACCCCTGGAGGTTTTACGCGCCCTAAAACCACGACTTGATCATGAGGGACGCCATCGTGTAGGGCTCCGTAAAATTTCTGTCATCTGGTGCTCTTTAACATGCACTCACATCGCAAAGTATATATACGCACTTCCCCTATTTTGCCTCCATCAAAATATGATCTCCACGGCCCGGGTCGAACACATGGCCTTCGGCTCAGTGCCCGACGACTGTAACCGCTAAATCACCGCAGCGGATGGTCGCATATTCTGTAGCAGTGGAGAATTGCGCATTGCGGTCGTCGTGAAACGAATATAATTGGTTTCATTACACTTCCACGAACAGTTAGCAAAAAGAGGAAGACTATAGCTGTGTATAGCACGTCATGCACACGTAACGAAATACACTATTTCGCATGGCTTTTGTTATGTGCTCTAGAAACATAAAGAGAGCGTAATTTAAATTAAAGCGTCTTATTTGAAATGCTCATATTTGAAGATAATAAAGTGATTTCGTTTCTTAATTTCGCCCTTTCTTTCTGCTTCGTTTTGAGTTCGCAAAAAGATTGTCCACTGGCAGAAAATACGGCATGGCGAATTGCCTTCACGCTATACCGCAAAAAAAAAAAATCACTTGTTATGTATCGTCAACAAATATTAGCAGCCTGAGGCTTGTTTCTGCATACTCTCAAAGAGTCATCGCCATCGAATAGGCTGATATTTTTTTGAAATTAGCTCTTGCAGATTACAAAACCAGCGGCGACCAAAGGACGTCCTAACTTCGAAGAACCTGTGCCGCCGAGTATACAACCAGACGAAATATATTGGAACCGATGACAAGAAGGGCAATACTGCCTTTCAAATTAAGGGGGTTTTCAAGCACAGACAAGTGACTTGCGCGCACGAATTCATTGAAAAAAAACAATTGATTACTAATCGAGCAACCAACCGACCGTTCGTCGTACGACTTGCGCTTCTTATCGGTCGGCTAGCACGGTTCGCTCTTGGTCGCGATAGTCGACATCAAACTGATTTTTTTTTTTAATGTTTGGCCATCTTTGTCCGCCACGCGGCATACGTTATCGCGCCAGTTTTGAAAGTTGAAGGTCTGTACGTTACGTGGTGTGAAAACCAATGGACTAAAAGTGATGTCCCAAATTCCTGCGTATGGTTCTCTGCCGAGACCGATGGGACTTAACGCAACGTTAATTAGAGAAAAAAGGGGACTGGTCAGGCGCAGTGTTGAATCACGGAAAAATATTTTTGGAAGTGTGTACAGTGCGGCGCGCATCGCTGTGTTTTTCAACAAATCTGATCGCCAAGTCCTTCTGTCCAAATGAGCGAGCTTGTTTGGAACGTATACGAAAAAATGTCAAGGCCTGTTCTCTGGCCCTTTGAAAGCGAAACTGCAGTTCACGTGTTTATGACTCGAGTCGAGCGCGTGCGGCCATTGTACAGCATTCCTCTTTGCGTATTTAACCCCCATATTCACAAACGCTCATCGACTCGACTTCCACCCTTCACTTGACAGAGTTGAGCACAGCGCCACCGCTCGGCTGAAGATGACGCTGCTCTACTCAAGAATTGCAGCAGATTATTGCTGATATGCAGTGACTTGCCTTGCCTAGAGACGGCGCTACCATCAGCTTTCTCAAGTGAAGGTGAAGCGCTGAGTGAAGGGACGTTCTAGAATACGGGGGTAAATCCCTCGGCGCATGTACTCACGGCATTCGGTGTATTTTGCATTGTAGTTGATCTAGCATAACGTCGGCAGAGAGCCAAGATGAGTTTCGCCTGACTCTTTTCCTTGTTTCATTGAGCGTCCAGTTTTATTCCTTGATTTATACCACTCGCGCAAGTTATCGTTAATCGCTTCCATACCTTATAGTATGTACGGGGTCGTTATTTAATCCGACAAATCGCCGTACAAGAGTGAGCACTGAGTTCTATCTCGTCGTGTCTTTTGTAGGAGAATGAGGACGACGCCACGCCGCCACCAGTGCCCAAGCGACCACCGCCAAGCCTTCCCCGGTCCTCTTCCACTGGCTCCGTGACGTCAGCACGCGATTACCCCATCAGTCCTCCGCCGAGGAGACGGTACCTGAGCCCAGAGCGGCGACGACGGGCGCTGATGATGAACGCCGCAAATGGTGCCTCAGCGAGCACTCCGGATTCACCGGACGCCTTACTAGGCCGCCGCCCCTTCCAGCGTTCTGTCACAGAGCTCCGAGCTCCCTTCGACCAGAAATCCGTTATTCCGGACACGAGACCGCCAGCCGAGCAAACGAGTGTAACGGCTGTCACGCGCCGAAGCGACTCGACGTCCGCCGTAACGCTGCTTAGAACAGGTCGCCAGCCAACGTACGTAGATAGCGGGTCACCGAATCATCTGAATCGCGTCGACAGCTTCGGTAGGGACGATGGGCGGAGGGGCCATGCGATTTCTGCCGGCGAGTTCAAGCCCTACCTGTCGCCGCCAGTGGAAACGCGCCTGCCGAAAGAATTCGCTGTTCTTTCGAGTCCGATGGAAGTGTCGAGAGCATTGGTGGGCTGCCGTGCTGTTGATGCTTCTACAAGCTCCAGCGCCGAGATCAAGCTTCAAGATTGTTCTGCCACGAAAGACGATAGCCTTCGACGGCAAGCTGCGTCTCCCATATGTTCCAGGGCTTTCTTTTACTCTACTAAGCAGTGCGCTTTGCAGAGGCTAGATGAAAGTACGAAAGACGTGGCTGACGAAGTAAAAGTGACATCGGTATCAGAAGCAAGGCCCTGTTCACCAAGTCCGCACAACAACCAGCTTACCGATATTGCTGAAGGGGAAATCCACAACATGTCAGATAGCCCGAAACCAGATCTTTGTGCAAACAACGGCAGTTTCCATTCGGAAAACGGCAAGGTCGTCCGTGTGGTCAACGGGGGCTACTCGCCGAACGAGACAACTCACGAGAAAGAAAATGCCAGGTTAACGGTAACGTTTCGAACTCTTCCAGAGACAGGGAGCTTCCGGCGCAAATGCGAATCTCGTAACTCGATCCACGTAGACTTGAACGTGCGCGATGGTCTTCCCTGGAACGGGCGGACTCAAAGCTCCGCATCGTCGGGCAGTAGTGACGAAAGCAGCCACGCCGCTGCCGTGTCGAGCTCGGGATTATGTCGTAGCCGCAGCCTGAGAAGCCATCGGAAGCCCGAGCTGTCCGACGGCGTTGCTGCGTCCAGGACAATGGAGGATTTCTTACCTCCGCCGCTTCCGCCGCGCAAGACCAAGGAGGACGCCCGACGGCAGGCAGAGGAGAGCGCCTCACCCACGCTGAAAAGGGTCACCTTCCACATTCTTCCAACGACCCACGAGAATTCGGAACGCAAGGAAAAGTCGTCCTCCGCGGAGAAGCGCTCGGTAAAAGATTCCTCGGAGGACGGTTTCTTCACACGCCCGCCACCCAAGACTCCGTCGCCCGTAGTTCTTAAAGGGCGAGCGCCATCACCTACGTGTCACAGAGCGACGAACGGCTCTCCTGTCGCCGCTAAGATCAAGGAGCCATCGCCTCAGTGTCAACGTCGACTGGCCAAGGTGAACGGCGTTCAGGGCAAGACGGGACCGAGGGACGCCGCGAAGACGCCTGGACATCCAACAAAAGAGGCTGTAGTCAAGAAGACGTTCGAACCGCCTTCGGCCGCGAGTGATGTGTCTACGGACTGCTACAATGTATACAACGTCCGCACTGGCAAGATCTCCTCCACCGTGACCAAGCCGAACGCGCTTGGCCGTAGCGTGGCCAGAGTGCCCCAGGAGTGCCCCAACGGGACACGGGGTCAGCTGACCAAGCTAAGGAACATATCCCCAACCAGGGAGGCGGAGAAACTCATCGGCAAAATCATTTCTAGGTAAGCACGAGTTCTTGGCAATCTATATGTGAAACAACTGGTCTAGTTTGGCTGTTGAATGCGTTGGCTTTTGAAAGATATAAACGCAAGATTTAGATGTCGATCTCGTATGTTCATGCAAGTTCCCTAAAGTGCTCGAGTGCACTAAATATGCACCTTTTTGTGTAAATGTCGTTGTGAGCTCAGGCTTACGGGCCATCTCGAATGTTGTGGGACCCTTTGATATGAGCATGATAGACTATGCGTGTGGTACATGCTTCATTGCTTAGCATTCATTTGTTCATATCGCGAAGACTTGGAATGTTTGTTCGTCCAACGTTTTCGCGTTTGTTCCAACATTGTCGTGATGCGTTGCCCCGCCGTGGTGGTTTAGTCGCTAAGGTACTCGGCTGCTGACCCGCAGGTCGCGGGATCGAATCCCGGTTGCAGCAGCTGCATTTCCGATGAAGGCGGAAATGTTGTAGGCCCGTGTGCTCAGATTTGGGTGCACGTTAGAGAACCGCAGGTGGTCGAAATTTCCGGAGCCCTCCACTACTGGCGTCTCGCATATTCATATGGTGGTTTTGGGACGTCAAAGCGCACAAATCGATCAATCAATTGTCGCGATGCATTCTTCCGAGCGTAAACGTACGCACTTTTTGCCACCACAGCTCGCATTCCCCCGGCGATCGCCTTCACTGGTGAGTAGTTAAGTCGCACGCAAAGCAGCAGTCACGGGCACACTCGGCCCTCGCGTAGCTCAGCCCAGCGGTTAACACACTAATGGCGGTCACCTTCTCAGCCGAGTATAGTTTGATAGCACTCAAAACAAAAGGAATGCAGCCAAGCCGTGCTAAGACAGAAAAATAAGGTTCTCTGCCATTCACGCTAAGACCGGCGAAATACAGAGCACGTAGGCTGGCACCTTCATTCTTGAAGAATAAAAGCAGTCGACACACGTTAGCACTTGGCAGCAGTAGAAAAGGCCGTCTTCATACAATACATTAGAATGTACACGCAAAAATTTTGGAGACATCTGATTTTGTGTCTGTGCTGAAATCGGTTTAATCGCAGATATACGCATGACTTACGAACCTTAATTGTCTTCAGCAGTGCTGAACATATCACTATGTCGCAAAATTTGCGTTTTGGAAACGGGTGAACTTTTTTCGATTTTCGCGAAGTAATTTTTGTGGTCTTCCGCACGAGCGACAGGCTGCGTTTGAAAAACGAACTTCAATGGCGTCCGCAAAGCTGGCTTTGCCGCAAAAAGAAACAGTATGTGGTGAAGCACGCTTCTAGAATTTTGTTGGCTTTGAAGAGAGTCATGTAGTCGTTTCATATGCGTACACCTACCATTGTGTCACGCTTGCCAGCCTCGCATAGTAGGGCGTCTTTTCTTTGCGTTAAATTATATGACATCAACTTTCGCAATAACTACTTTAGCGTGACTATTTTTTATACCCTCGTATAATGCTCGGACCTTTCTTTTTCCTCCCCAGTAGTGTTTTCTTTCTTATCATGTTTTTATCCAAAATTGTCGTAGGTTAACATCGTAAATTTTATCACGGGATGAGTCACCCGAGAATGACGTCACGTATCGCCAATGACCGTGCTAACGGAGCCAATGACTATTATTGAAGGAGGGGGGAGAAGAAGGTTGGGCTCCTACGCTAGTCTCCATTTAGTATCTTTGAAGCTCAAACTAAATCAATCCTAGTTTACAGAATCTTGATAATGTTGGTAAAGCGTTTTAGGACAGCAAAGGAACAGCAAAGCGTTACACAACGACAACTGCGTTACGAGTGGGTGGTCGAATATTCCAACCCCTTTACAAAAGCTTCAGACTTAATTCTTCATCGTCATTAGCCACAACATCAGTGCGCTTGTAGCAGTTACCCCAAAGAATGTTTAAAAAGGGTTCCTAATTAAAAGCCACTCTTTCCAACTTTCACTGGGACTGTGCTGCGCATATCGCGCAGCCCTGGCATTTTTTTTTTTTTTTTCGAGGGGAGGGGGTCATTATGCTACCGAACTTTCAGGCGCGTATTCAATTTCTGCAGAAAAACTGAGCACAAAAACAATAAACGCAGACAAGCAAGGCAGGAGAAAAACTCGGCGATGTTTTTTTGATTAGTTTAAAATATGGTATTAATTTAGTATGTGATATTAGTATATTATATTAGTTAGATAAAATATGGTATTAGTAAAATATTGATATTGGTTTAAAATATGCTGCGTAATTCTGTAGCTGCCTTGAAAACGGTTGCCTCGCTATTTGAAAACTGTTCAAATATAGAGTTCGATTCGGTATCATCACTTTTGGATTCGTATTCGAGTCCGCGCTACAATCCGTTGTTCCCACGCCGCTGCGTACGACTCATTCTCGCAGGTGCAAGTCGAGTGCGGTGCTGAACGGCAAAGATCGAAACAAGCCCGCCTCGCCGCCCCCTCCGTCGGCGGACGGAGGCAACGCACAGCCGCAGCTGCTCAAGCTCACCGCCAGGCAGCAGCAGCGACACAGTAGGTGCACGAAGTGTGTCCTTGCCCAGGCTGCCAAGTGACGTCACCGACAGTGGATTTTCCGATGACGTCGTCATTCTCGGTCTTTACTTAAACAGCACTCACTTGTTCCTCCTCCCCTCGCATCGGCGGCATTCTGCCAAGTGGGCAACCTCCAACTGAGAAAAACAACACGGTCGCCGGAGACTGCTCTGACGGAGCGGAGGCATGCATCATGCCTCTTTGTCGACCGTGCCTGACGTGCATTAGTCGTGTAATTAAAGATGTCTATTAACAATCTAGCATTTGCCCGTTTTAGCCGTTTGTGTTTGTCTCTATTTTTGTGCCAACTCCTGACGGTTCTCCGAACAATGTCTGTTACGTGCTCTGTTAACAAACGCACTTGCGCCGCACTCGACGCCGATATGGGTGTCACGGTAAGTGCGCCAAGCTGATAGCGCGCCCTGCGGCAATATTTTTAGCGCTACATAACATGCTAGTGTGGTGCCAGACTTGTTTCAGAAACTAATAATCGGGTGCTTTTGGATCATTCAAAAGTGCATCTGATTTCAGTATCCTGCGAAAATAACTGCGAGTAACCAGGTGCTAGTTCGATTTGTGTTACATGTTCAGGTATCTTACAGTTGTACAGATCAAGATTTGTTTCTAGAAAACAAAAACAAAAAACACGTGCGTTTCCACTTCTTCAGAGCATTATTTAGGCCACTTCACAAGCTTTTCGGTATGCTCACAAACATTTACTTTTTGCCCATTTCCCCTTCTCATATTCTTGTGAGGACACCAGCAGCGGCATTCTAAGTTTATTTTTACTCCCTTGTTCCCCTCTCCCCACGTGTAGGGTAGCAAACTGGACGTAGTCTAGCGATAGCCTCCCAACCTTTCTTATATTCCTTCTGTATCTCTTTCTCCTTCTCTGATGAGCACAAGTATCCGCAAAGACACTCGAATACATAAAGAAGATAGAACCAAGTGGTGATGAATCACCAGCTGGTATACGCACGCACTTTTTAGATTAGCATTCCAAATTTGGTCGACATACGGGTTGGGTAAAGGCGTCATAATTCTTGGCCTCCAGGAAGGCACATCAGCGAACGGAATTTTAGAACCTTCTAATCGAAGAGTTAAATACACATTCGCTGAACACGGGCCCCCGGTTACCATTCCACTCAAACCGCCCCCAGCTGAATTCTTCATTCCACTGCCATAAAATGCATGCGCAAACAAAAGCACAACCAAGGATCCTGGATGATAACGCGCTTATCTGACGAATCGCAATTGTTGCAGCGGAGAGCAAAACGGAAAGTTTAATTATTGACGCCACGGGCATGGTTAATTTAGGATGGCGTATCGTTAACAATGGGAATCACGCGACATTAGCATATGCATTTTATCCATTTCTTTAGAAGTGCACGCGCTGATATGGCAGCCCTATGGCTTTCAAGCGCCGGAAAGAAACTGGGCTTCATTGCTGTATTGCGTCAAAGGACCAGCACAAGCGAAGAGAACTGGGTTTTTTTTTTTTTTTTTGTCGTCGTCTGCCCTCGTTCTTTGACCTGTCTGACACGTTCCCTACCGTGCTGTTAACACACTACTTGACTACCCCTAAGAAAAGAGCAGCTCGCATGAAATGTAATGGATCAAGCCATGGGTCTGACCATCTTAGCCATTTATGCATGCTCTTGCAGCAAGAAAAGTTCAAAAGGGCAAGGGCAAGTTTCCCCTTTTCCCCTAAGGTATGGTAACGCCCCTCTCCCTTAGTGCTAAGAGGTCGAAACGTTTCCTTATGTGATTCTTAAAGAGAAATGTGAGCCCCGTACTGTCTACATCAGAGAGAGAGAGATGAAGATGCAAGGAAAGGCAGGGAGGTTAACCAGACACACATCCGGTTTGCTAACCTGCACTGGGGAAGGGATGAAGGGGTGAAAATGGGTTGCAGAGATATAAGAAAGGTACACACAATCACGAGCACACTCGGGGAAGCACACAGTCTACAGGCGGCCGTTCAAGTTTGTTGTCTTCAAATAATGTAGGAGTGCTTTAGTCGCTTTCTGCGCAGTTGAGGCAGACGTTCAAGGTCCCAGAATCTTCGGCGCAGAGAATGGCCGAGAGTCCAGTTGGTTCAAAACCATACGGAGCTGGCATCGCTGTGTGTCCTATAGCAAGCGCAGCTGCACAGGACGTGTTCGATGATCTCTTCAGTTCCGCAGGAGTCACATGTAGAGGTGTGTGCTATACCGATGCGAAAGGAGTACGCCTTTGTGAATTCAACACCCAACCAAAGGCGGCATAACAGTGTCACATCGGAGCGGGAAAGTTGTGATGGTAGCTGTATCTTGAGCGAAGGATCCAGTTCATATAAGTGACACCTTTGGAAGTTGGTAGACGACCAGAACGTGCGTGTAAGATCTCGAGCCAGCAAGTAAAGTTGTCTTGCTGTATCAGTCCTTGTTAGAGGAATCGGGACAATCCGTGTTCCTTCATGGGCTAAGCGGGCTGCATCATTGGCTAATTGATTTCCAGTAATACCGATATGCCCATGCAGCCATTGATATATAATATCATGCCCTCGTGCTAGAGCTTGATGGTGGCAATGTCGCATTTCATGTACCAATGGTTCATGATTCCTCTTACGCATGGCAAACTGCGAACTCTGAAGTGCTGCCTTCCAATCACAGAATATGACCCATTTTCCTGGACGTTCTTGAACGATATATTGTAAAGCGGCTCTTATAGCAGCAAGCTCTGATGCCGTAGACGTAGTCGTATGCGACAACTTAAATTTGATTGTCATTGCTGCAGCCGCAATAGCAGCGGAACCTGATGAACTGCTGGACGAGACCGACCCATCAGTGTATATCTGCGTTTGGTCCAAGTACAACTCATATATTAATAGCAGTGTTTCTTGCTTCAACGCTACTCTGGAATGATTGCTTTTCTGTTTGATACCCGGAATTTCTAGACGTACCTGCGGCTGGTCGAAGCACCACAAAGGACGTGCAATTCTCGTAGCTGGCGTATATCCTGACGGAATGCTGTTTAGGTATTTGGTTATGACGTCTGAAAACGTAGCACGTGGTCTTTCGGAGGGTAGAGTGCGACACCTCAACAGTAGCTCACGAGGGATGGGGCTAAGGAGGGATTAAAAGGATAGGATTAAAAGTATAGAGATAGAGAGGTGGAAAGAGAGAGCGTGGGGCAGGGGCAGCGACACCAAAAGCAAGGAAAAGATAGGAAAGATGGACACGGTCTCAGGAGTCCGAGGACGGGGCACCACTCGGCGGCAGGAGATGGCGTAGGGCGAGCCAGTCGGTCAGAGCTGCGCTGTCGTCAGAGATCGCGGGAGCACAACCGGCCGGCACGAAATCCAGAGAGCGAGTCAGATACATTTTTGTGATAATGCTGTAGATCCAGTGCTGTGGTGTAGTTCTTGGTTTCGGGGTTTTTTCAGTTTTTGTTTTCAGTGATAGCTGTCGATATTGGTGACGTACTTGTCCGCCGCCAACGCCACCGGTGTCCGTAGCAATAAACTAGCGGTATTTTATTTATTTGTTTATTTGTGAAATACTGCAGGCCAAAAAGGCCCAAGCAGGAGGGGCACAAACACAAACACAATTTCAGTACATGAGTGACGCAGCTTCACTAAAATACATCTGTGTAAGAGGAGAGCGAGTAGAAGAGAAACATCAAAACAAAGAAAGCACGCGATCAGTGCATGAGTAACACAGCTTGACTAAAATACATCTGTGTAGGAGAAGAGCGAGTAGAAGAGAAACATCAAAAAAAAAAAAAATCAAGCGATATTGGGAGGGGGGGGGGGGGTCAAGATTCACAGAATTAAACATTGGGTTCATCAAGATCGAAGGTTTGGAGGAAATCAGAAGGCAAGTTATTCCATTCTGTTACAGTTCTCGGAAAAAAGGAAAACTTAAATAAATCTGTCCGCGCAAAATACGGTGTTAAAGATCGGACATGAGAATGACGAGTTTGCCTGGTCGAAACTGGGGTAACATAATGTGATGGGTCTAGCCCAAGTTTATTGGTAATTAGTGAGTCCAAGAATTTTAGACGGAGAAGCTGGCGCCGCGATTGTAGCGTCTGGAATTCGTTATCTCGCATTAGTTCCGTAACTGATGTACCACGACCATACTTTGAGTAAATAAAACGCACTGCTCGTCCTTGAATCTTTTCGAGGGAATATATGTTAGACTTAGTATGCGGATCCCATGCAATACAAGCGTATTCAAGCTTTGGACGTATTAAAGTGTTATAAGCTAATAGTTTCACTTGCGACGGGGCGTCTCTGAGTTTGTGCCTTAAAAGACACAGTTTACGGAAAGCCGATGACGAAACATCGGCAATGTGTGCATTCCAGGACAACTTATTCGTTATCGTTATACCTAGGTATTTGTATTGACTGACTTCTTTTAAGGGTTGGCTTTTGGATGAATAGGAAAACTGAAGGGGATTTGTCTTGTTAGTAATTCGAAGGCAAACAGATTTATCGAAATTGAGCACCATGCCCCATTTGTTACACCACGAAAGAATATTGTTAAGGGCAGTGTCGGGAGCAACCTGGTCATCTGGCGATTGTACATCTGTGAAAATAATGCAGTCGTCTGCAAAAAGTCTTATTTTAACCGGATCAGTAATAGCATTAACAATATCATTGCAATAAATTATAAACAGCAGCGGACCTAGAACACTACCCTGCGGTACGCCGGAATCTACTGGGAGATGAGGTGATGTCTGTCCACAGACGTCGACATACTGTTTCCGGCCGTTCAGGTAAGCAGACACCCAGGATACTAGGTAGTTTGGAAGCCCTATAGTCTGCAATTTCTCGATGAGCTTGTTATGGGGAACACGGTCGAATGCTTTACTGAAATCTAAAAACAGTACATCGACCTGACCAGCTTTGTCTCGGGCCTTTAAGGATGCAATAAATGAAATGAAATGAGAAGCAATGTGATGAATAACTGAGACCAACTGGGTGACTGTGGAAAACCGTTTTCTAAATCCATGCTGAAAGGGAGATAAAATGTGGTTATCATCTAAGAAGCTGTTTATACGAGTGGCAATTATATGTTTTAGCATTTTGCAACATGCGGAAGTCATAGAAATGGGACGGTAGTTTGGTATGCACTCTGGGTCCCCCTTTTTCACAAAGGGCAGAACACGTGCCAATTTCCAATCGATGGGTAAAGTTGCTGAACTTATTGAGGCTCGGAAGATCACAACAATGTACTTGGCCAATATTTCGGCATATCGCCGGAGAAATGCATTGGGTATGTTGTCTG